AAATTTTGATCTATTCCGCTTTTAACTTTTTCTCTATAAATCAGTGTTTCGTAATCGGTAAATTATTTGCTCAACCAGCATCAATGACATGAGTTGGTCTATCATTCAGAAGCTCCTACCTATGCCCTGACCTATGCATCCATATTTGGTTTATTTAGAGACATATCGGACCATATCACACTATAAAATAAAAATCATTCATACACGACCCAAAGGTTGTCAATAGAGCAGACTGTAGCAATAGACTTGCAACAAATTAGGAATAATAGGTTGTGTATCATTAGCTAATGCGTTAACAAAAAGCTTATAGTAAAAGGAATACATATAGTAATCCAGTTATTCAGTAATTTTACAAAAATACTATCAATAATAATAATTCGGAAAACCAGTTTCAAGTTTTACAATATTCATTCTTTTATAACACAATAATTATTACAACTATCTTGATTGTTATAATTACCATTATCCATACTATGATTTGTATTTTGTTATGCAACTTTCACCTAACTAAATGTCACCCCATCTACTTTAAAAGTAACTTTTCACTTAATCAATGCTCAAAATTATGGAAAAAACTCTTTGAGTCCACCATGTTTATTCTTATGTTATTCATCTTGAAAATTTTTGAGTTCCAGGATATGATTACCTCACTCATTGATATTTTCGATATTCATCTTTAAGTGACCGTACACATGTTTATTTATAGATCATTGTCACATAACCTTGATTTTACAATTTTTCAGTAACGAATATCCATTATTTAATATTACGTCATATTTCAATGCAAATATAATTGTAAGTCGCCGAGTAGAAACTACAGAATAATGGTATTCTACCTTGACTATTATTCTGGCCTATGTAAATTTTATAATTTAAACAACAGATGAGCATAGTAACAAAATTAGTTTTACTCTTTCAAGAGTTTTATGTTGTGAGTGTATATTTTGTAAATTTTGAGTATTACTAATATACTATAAGGATCTATTCTAAAGAATTTAACTGATTGTTCATCGTGGTTACTTTTATCAAAAATCGTTTTGTCATGTTACATTTTAAATAAATGGCGAACCGTAAATTAATTGTCATGTTACAATTCACCACCCTGCAATAGTTTTAAAAAAATCTCTCTAAAATTTCAATACCACGATAGAATGGTAAATCTTTTGTATGCATTCTGTAAAGCATCGTTTGTGTATAGCTGAAAAACTTACCGACATTCAGTACTAATAAACCTATGTTTATACTCAACTAGTAACGAGGTAATAAACTACACAACAGTCAATAAACAACATAGAACTTAGATATTTCATCTATTATATTCCAAATGTTTTGTACACTAAGGTTTCATTCAGAAACCAATATAACCTCAATAGAACAAATTACATAAAACAATAAAAGTATTTTCAGGTTCATTATACAATCTCAACGTAAATAATTTAATATTTTATTCTAACAATTAGATTTTCAAAACAAATAGGATATTTTCCTTGAAACATATTCATATTGTAACTAGGTCATATTTCAGTAAATTTTTCATTTGAATTAAGAAAAAAGGAAGAAAATCTTCAATGAATGATTTTCGCGCTTACTTGATTTCAAATAATCTCAATGTAGCATTTCAAGTTCTTTACAAGTATCCAAGCGTGAATAAACTTTTTCTTTCTCCACCCGATCCCCACCTCCTCCACCCAGTTTCCGGGATACAATTAAGATGAATAATATTTTATCCTCTTCAAATTAATTCTATATATTTGAAAATTAATTTAGTCAGTGGTATTAGTGATAGTATGAAACGTATCAAATTTCTCATTTGAGTTGATAGATAGTTATACATATAATATATATAATATAATAAGTGTAATATAACTAAACATATTCAAAATCACGAACAATATTCATGGTTCATTTTTCAAAGAATTTTTATTGAAAACTGATTCCTTTACGGTGAATTAATATTTTCAGTTGTTTTTTTTTCAGGATAAAAGCTGATCCCTTCGAGAAGTGAAACTAGTAGGATAATTTTAAATCACTTAAGATTAAAATTATCATTGAAATATTCAAAATGAATTTAACTTTATATCAAATCGAATATTCTCCTACATTGTAAGAGCATATCATGTACCTAAATTAATGGTTGCTCTGGTTGTCAGAAAGGATATCAGTCTTGTAACTTCCGAAGGAACTCAGCTTTCACTATGAGGTGTCATAACTCTTATAAATAAAGACGTACTAACTCCCATAGCAGAGTTTAAATGGTTTGAATTATCCTTTCTGATTAGCATTATTTAGCGAGTTAGTTTTCAACTGGATGGGGTCGCCAACCTCATGCCTAACCCTCGTGCTTTATCCAGGCTTAAGACCGCCAGTAGCCTCAGGGGTCTCCAGGAAGAGTTAAATTGAATACAGTAAATGACACCATCACTGTAAATTCAGTTTGCATTGTTTGTTTGAATCTTTCTATTTGTGTTTAGAGTTGCAATTGATCCGATTCTTATTAGCAATATTTACATCCTGGGCGAATTGCCTCGATGTTAATTCACAAGCATTATGTGCAAAGATGGATGGTAGGAGATTTAAACAAACAATATAAAATGAATTAAAACTTCACGCTATTGTACAAGCAAGTGGTTATTAGGGCCCAGTAGCTAAGCAGATAATATGATGGTGTTTTTAAAGCGAACGGTACTAGGTTTTAGTCTCGGAATGAACATCAACTTTGAGATGCAGGTACATCCAGCTAACGAGTCCAAAATAGAACGAAACGCGGTTTCTGGATTCCACTGCTTTCTAACATTTATCTTTGCTTATAATACTTGAATAGTGTTGGGAGTATGAATTATGTAATTGTAACACAGTGGTTAAGATGTATCATTCATGAGATGATTTTGGAATAACTTAAGTTTGATTCAACATACAATAGTAATTATAAAATAATGGTTATTTTTCGAGTTATACTGAATTAGGTATATGGTCATTAACAGTTTCTAATGGCTTTCTGACTGATAACTATTTACAATGTAAACTTTACTCAAATAATTGTGTTCCCTATAATATTACGATCACTACTCAACGTCGGATAAACTGGAAATTAAATAATTTTTGATCAATGTATTTGTAATATTCTAATGAATAGAAAATTAAACGTCTAATACATCACGGCTTAATTATTAAAAGTTGCTTCTTTACAATTGCTTGATCACTGGGTCGTGATCAATATCATGTGTGTCAGATCCTTCTTAATGTAAATCGTATCCTATAGACCAGATTGCAATGTGGTCACTAGTCTAAGTGACTCGATATCGCACGCACTATGTTGAGATAAGATGGTGGTTGGATGTATTTGACAAAAAACCCTAAACACTGTCAGGGAGAAACAGTTCCCTTAAGATTACAGGTACCCCTTGTTGACGAATGCCAAGTATCATAAAACCTAGGTCCAGGGTTTCGTGCTGACTGCCACCAACCATCATCTTATAGGTTGCTTCTTCTAAGTTAGATATTAACATCGTTGGATTCCGGCCGGCTCAGTGGTCTAGTGGTTAGGCGTACGCGCGTGCGATCCATATCCATAAAAACACTTCTTTGATTAATACATAAAAGTGATTGTTTAGTCTTAGATAAACCAGTTCACAATAAATCATAAACTATTAGAAATTTACATTTTCTTATTATACTTCCTCTAATTTCGAATAATTACAACTTATTTATGCATAGTTTACTGTGTTCAAAGTTATCACAGATGGTCTCAACCATGAATTATACTTCAATCAATTACATAATTAATTGCTTTTCGAAAAAAAACCAATGCATCATTTCATAGATAATCTTGTAGTGAACAGGAACACTAATGGAGACAATCGAATGTATTTGACAGAAAATTACAGGACTTGTTATTAAAATCTAACAATCATATAGTAAATGCTTAATTTACAAAATATCCATCAATTATCTCAAAATGACTCAGATTTCCTTGTTCTTGCATTTTCATACAAAATGTGTCCTAGTATGGGACTCCTCAGAAGTGCGCATCCACGATCCCCCACCCCGCGGGATTCCAACCCAGGACCTATCTGTCTCGCGCCAGGCGCTTAACCAACTAGACCACTGAACTGTCCGACATTCAACTGTGTTAATGTCTAACTTCAACCAATCTACGAAGTTGCGCCACCTTACACCATTGTCTTCAGTGAGTTCCTAGCTCACAACAGACCTGGTTGAACTCCACTCTTAACGACTTCTCACTAGAACTCCAGTAGTATCTCCTGAAGTCAGTCACTAGTGAGCAGTTGATTATTAGTAGAATGGGTTTTATGGAGATTTTTAGAAATGTCACAGGTTGGAATCATGAGTCAATTGAAGCCAAACCACCATGGAAAACCTGGAAGCACTGGACGGACGTTTCGTCCTATTGTGGGACTCCTCAGCAGTGCGCATCCAGGTTTTCCATGGTGGTCTAGCTTCAATTGACTCATGATTTCAACTTGTGAAATTTCTTAAAATCTCCACAAAACCCATTCCGAAAATTACATTCTGTTTCCATTCTTTACTGTTCGATCCTTTTGTCTCTCTGCTTCCAGACCTTCTGTTCCTGACTAACATCATATACTACTTATGTCAATATAAGTAGCAAACACCACAATCTGTCATTATTTTATATTTAAAAAACAAACAAACAAAGAACAAAACAAGAATGGATAATTTTGTATGATATGATAATGAAAAAAGTATATTTTATTTCTTCATTACTAAAGCGTATTAATGTTACTGGTTATACGATTGATTCAATTCTGATTGGTCAATTAAGAATCACCATGGGGGACATTATTAGCCATTAGCAGATCATGTATAAAATACACACGTATACTGGTAATGTTATGATTTCTTTATTCTTTTCTTTTTTTAAAAAAAACAACAACACAGTTAAGATGTAAACACATTCATACATAGTTACCATGTTATAATCATCATCATTATCATTATCGCTATCATTGGCAATATGGTTTACTTAAAGATGTATATATAATTAATAACGAAATTTATTAAAATAACAAATATGGATCAAAAGTCAAATATAAATTTATTTCATCCAGCATTAATTAATTTAACTACACATTTATTTTATAATATAATTGAGCATAGAATTAATGCACAAAATTTTAAATGTTTAGGATTACAATCTATTGATTATGAACAAAAAGAAAATCAAATTGAAGTTGTATTACAATTTGATATTATTTCATCATCATCATCAGCAGCAGCATCATCGTCTACATCAAGAAATAACTCCTTAGGGAATAATAATAATAATACATATACAGAATGTGATTATACAAATCTGTTTGGTGAAAAATTAGCAGAACAAATTACTTCAAATGAAAGAAAATGTAAGTTTACTTAGTTATTTAGGATTAATTATCACGTGATCATTAGTGACTAGATTGAAGAGAAGTTAATCTATGTCGGATGTGAGGTAGTTTTTTGATCGTGACTAGTATTAATGAATCCGAGGAAGTGCATTTTCTCTTATTCAAAACTAGTCAGCTGAATTCAAAAACATCCCAGTCTATCATTTCTTTAAATTAACGACATTAAATTAGAAACTATTACTAATGAAATGGGGTTATTCTTAAATATGATATAGTTTCATCGAAACCAATATTTTTATATTGATATAATTCTCTATTCATTTATTCACTTTTCTAATCACTCACTTAAAACAAATATCGTAACAGTTTTTATAAGTCTTACGTACATACTTACACCTGTTACTCCCAATGGAGAATAGGCTGCTGACCAGCATTCTCCAGCCCACTCTGTCATGGACCTTCCTTTCCAGTTCTATCCAATTTTTGTTCATTTTTTAAGTCTGTCTCCATTTCATGGTGTAATGTGGTCTTTGGTCTTCCTCTCCTCCTTTGGCATTGACGATTCCATTTGAGGGATTGTCTTGTGACGCAGTTAGGCGCTTTCTTTAATGTGCATCCTATACACTTCCAGTGTTTCTTCCTGATTTCTTCCTCCTCTGGGATCTGGTAGGTTCTCTCCCACAATAGGTTGTTGCTGATAGTGTTACTGAGGGTGTTACTACATTGGTCGTCTTCTCCTGCATTTGTTGTTTTGATAAGTAGTCAATCATAAATTCAATGCATATTGATAAACATTTTAATTTTAATATTTATTTTAACTGATTAGAATGTTTACTATTTACTCATTTTGATTATCTGAATAAATAAATAAGATAAATAATTCATAAGGAAATAAACAACTGTTTAAAATTTTTAGTATAGCGAGATTTGTGGAAGTTAGGGGGTGGCTGACATTAATCGATCAAATCACAAATTGATTTTAATTGAGTCACCGTTAAAAACCTGAGAGTACTAAACAGTAATTTCGATCTAATATGAAACTTCTCATAAATGTGTATCCAAAACCTGAACACAGTGCACATGGTTTTTAAATGGCGATCTAGTTATGAGTAGTTCGTGATTTAGCCTATTTAGGTTTTGTTTCTTTTAGGTGTCTTTATTTTGGTGATACAAGATTTCATTAATGAATAACTTGAAATTTCCTGAATAAATTCGGTCTAAAATTTAAATCACATTTTTTTATACCGTAAGTAGAAGAGGTTTGAATTATTTCACTATGTTAAGGATCTAATTTAAACAAACATATCATTGAGTGATTCTGGTTGATCACTTTTTCGATGAGCTATCGTTTTTAATTGTTGCAACCATCTTTTCTCTTTAACAAATGATTAGTTAGGTTTCCTCAAACAACTTTTTCGATTTGGTTTATTATAGTTTTAACTGTGCAAGTTCAGTGAAACATTTCGTAAGTTGTACAGTTTCGATCTACTTTTTACGTCTTATTCTGATGTAATACATTTGGGGTTAGCTTGATTTTCCAATTTTCCCGTAAAATCCAAATGAAGGTAAAGGAAAAGACACAGCCTTAATATAACTATCATGTTACATGTTATTTAGAATAAATAGATTGTAGTTCACAATAGGTTCTAGAACCATTCATTCTACCTAAATAGAACTAATCAACCGAGATGTGCTTATGTCCTAGTGTTATTATTCACACCAGTACTCTAGCCCATTACCCTTAGCTGCAAACATCTAGATAACTGCTAACCTATTCAAGCGTCATTGTGTTTGAATCATTGATAAAAATGATTCAAGTTACTAAAATAAACATCATTCCAGTTTAATCGTTGATACGTCTATTTATTTGTACATAAAATTTTTTAGTTTTTCTCTTGGTAGGATTGTTGGTACACGTTGCTTCTCATTTGATTTTCAACTGAATCTAACCTATTATGAGCAACAGTCCTCTCATCTAACTGATTTCACAAACATCTTGTTTGAATATGATTATAAATATGTCGCTGATTGAAATCATGAGTCAATTGAAGCTAGACCACCATGGAAAACATGGAAGCACTGGACGGCCGTTTCATCCTAGTATGGGACGCCTCAGCAGTGCGCATCCACGATCATGCACCCCCCTGGAGCGAAACTGATAGAACCTGGGTTCGAATCACGCGAACAAATATTCATTAATATGATTATAATAACTTTTTAAAAAAAAGTGAAATAAACAGGATTATTCAATTTGGGCGGTTTAATTATAACTTTCAATGTTGGTAACTGAAGAGTTCACGTTTTTTTTTGTTTTTAGTTAGTACCATGGCAACGAAAATAATATACATTTGAAAATAATCATGATAAATAAGAATAAGATTGAATAAATATTCATTTCGGTAACTTCCCATTGTATTTTAAAATTAGGATATATATATTTAAGCAATACACGTAATTATAAATTAATGGTAATATTAATAGAATAGTTGTAGAAATTTATGATGTTGGTCGCAACAAAGCGTTCGCTAAAAATAACTAAATGGTGATACCGAGGCTAAAAGATGAATGACCTGGAATGATTATCTCATTTTGTATTTATCAGTTTGGCTGCTTCTATCGAGCAAGTTATATTGGTTAAAGCTCTAGGAAATTACATTTTCATGCTCGCGAACACCTCCCAACATGGCTAAGCAAAGGTCTGATGAGGAAAGTGAATAGTTTGATAATGGCCCATTTAGTGCAAACTAGTCATAATGCCAGTATAAACCAATTCTTTTCAATTATTTATCGAGTCAGTATTTTTTTGCAAACGCTTGTCAGATTTAAAGTCTTCCAAACGGCTGAAGCAGTAGCCATTCGGATGAACAAACCGGAACTATGCGTACGGAAGAAATATCTTCAACTGCTTTTCATCCCCTGGCCACCCCGAAGGCCAATTAATCAATGGTAATCTTAGCTGTTGAACTATTATGAACTAACTATTGAACTACCAGCGATCTAGTCCAAGTCTGTTAGACTTGTTTGTTAACTTGTACTAATTTGAAAGTAAATATGCAATCAATATTAATGGTTGAGAATTGATATGTTCTGAGAATGGGGAACGATATAGTATAGTGTTTCGAATTATTACTCTGGGTGATATAGAAATGAATCAGCTTCGTAACGTTACAATGTATCCAACAAAAAGTCAATCAACACTGTAAACTAATCAAACACAATATTGGTCATTATTTTTGGTAACCAATTAGTGTACATTTAAAACATAAGAAAAATCATTTTGACTCAATTTTTTTTAATATTGTATCTTTATCCAATGACTCAAAGCTTATTGTGAATTTCATCACTGGGATAGCGCTAACACATTCTTAATTCAAATTGTAACAAATTATTAGATTTCTTTTCTATAAATTATAAACTAGCTACTTATTATTGGAGGGAGAGCAACAAGCTTTCAGTAGAATAAAATGAATTCATTATTATAATTCACAGCTTCTTATTAGTTGTATACAACCTGTGATTACATGTGCTAATATAATTAGAAACAAATTGTTTAACAAACTTTAGCTAATGAAGTTTAGATAAGTGTTTGGAATATAGCCAAAAGAATCATAGTTATTAGAGGAATATGACACATTGTGTATGAATAAATATAGTCAATATCGATGTGTATTTATATGTTGGAAAACAGTAACACAAAGCTAAATAGGCAATGTTGTAGGTAATAGTTATTGTAATCAGAATGAAACAGGTTGTTTAGAGGTGGTATTGAAAGAGTGTTGGTCTACCACTGAGTGGAATAACGAATAGTTGGTATTGTATTTTGAAACCAGATGAGCAGCAAGGAAGCTTCTTTTCAGTGAAATCTTAATTCTTCTATCGATTCTTTCAGAAATCTCACCTTCTTTGGACAGAAGACGAATGAGAACAGGTATTTTGCAAATAGTTGATTGTTAATTATCGTTAGAATGTTCTTTTCAATATTTTGCAGTAAAGGTCTTCAGGTATCCACTTTTTATTAGAATTTTTTTCTTGACTAACCAATTCTTCACTCATTTTATCATTTGAGCATAACATTCTAGCTCTATTTAAAAACCTTTTAACTAAACAGTTGTATAACTGATATATCAAGAGCTATCATAGCTTATACAATATCTTGTCCATGTTTCATTTTTACAAATACTTTTTTCAATCATTCCCTTGTTTTACACTAAGATGATGTCATGGTTTCTCAATTACATGATAATTATTTATCGATTGGTCGAGTGGAATTATAAGAATTACAAGAACTTAGCAAGTCTAGTTCTAATCTACTAACAGTTCTTAATGAGAATTACTTTCAAAATAAAGTAATTTACTTCTCACTAGTGACTAACTCCAATGTTTAGTACACATCACTTATTTTTCAACGAATAACTTCAAACTGTAAGGTTCAGACAAGTTGGAAGTAAGACATATACCAATGACAATCAGAAAGAATATCAATCTAGGTCAAAATTTAATCAAAGTTGTAAATGTGAGCAATTACATTTTGACTTAGTCGTCTAAAACTGCTTCCAGTTACAAAGACAAATAAATATATGATTCTATATAATTCAATGTTACAACTGAGTACTAGTGGGATTTAAGTCAATACACAATAGATGTCAAAAGGAGTTTTTGTGGATATTATAGTAATTTAATCGTTGAATTCATTAGTCAGTTGAAGCCAGATTGCCATGGGAAACCTGCAAGCACTGAACGGCCGTTTCGTCGTATTGTGGAACTCCTCAGCAAGATTCAAATCCAAGATTTATCTGTCTCGCTTGCGAACGCTTTACCTCTAGACCACTGGGCCGGCATCCAACCGTGTTAATGCCTAACTTCAACTTATCCACGAAATTGAGCGACACATCCGCCATTGTCTCCAATGAGTCACCATCTCACAACAGACCCATTTGGACTCCACTGGTCACTGCTTCTCACTAAAACTCCAGGAAATACCTTTGAAGCCAGTCACTAGTTATTATATGCTGATTAAT